TATTTTATTTAAAAAATACTAAATACAATTAAATTTTCCAGGCAAATTTGCCTGGAATACAGTTTAAGGGATAAAAAGAATCAAATTTAATAAATATCTCAAATTTCAAATCACTTTCCCTATTGTTAATAAACTAAAATAATAAATCTCATCATTTTTCTATCTTATTAGTAAAATTAATATGTAAACACCATAGCAGGCTTTGCTCAGCCGCTTTCTACCTAAGATCATTAGTAGTTGAGTTTTTATCATTCTGTAGATAAAAAAACAGATAACAGATATACTGCAAAGTGTAAATTTTGTTTAACTGAATTTGAGAGCAAGCCAGAAAGACTACATCAACATGTTCTTAAGTGCAATAGCTGGCCAGTTTTTGAAAAGGCCAGCTATCTCAAAAAAGTTAATAAGCATATACCTTTTACTTGTAAGTGAATTAAACCTACTCAAGACCAAGACCAAGACCAAGACCAAGACTCTGTCAAAACTATGGCTGAATCAAATGTATCTTCTATGAAACAAAAAAGTATTTTAAATTGGTATAGTAAGTCTATACCTTTTACACAATCTGAAAAACTCAATTTGAAACTTTTACATACTATTATATATGGTAATATCCTTTTCAACTTTATTGAAAATCTGTATTTCCATGACTTTCTTTAAGAAGCAGCTCCTAGTTACTAATCTTCTTCACTTAATATACTGCAAGAATATATCTTGACAATAAAGTTCTCTAAATATTTACAAAACAAATTAACTAAACTGTCAACCTTTACTAATGCTACTATATATCTTGATAGTTGGACTGATGTATCCAGAAATTTTATATATAGATTTATGATATTTAAAAAACAGGAGGAGTATGTTATTAATATTATTGACTTATCTGCAAACAGACATAAAGCAATCTTCATTATAAAAAAACTGAAATCGTCTATATCACTGACAATCCACCCATTATGAATTCGATGAAAAATCTTCTAAAGGTATATAAATACTTTTGTTAAAAATAAAAAATAAATAATAAAATAATAATAATATAACTTATATATATTTCGTTTTACAAAAAGAATGTCTAAATATTGATTCTATTAAATGTTGCTTGCATATATTCAACCTAATTGCGAAAAATATTACTAGTTTTACTAACATCGTTTCTACTTGTAATGTAAACTAAAAGCTAGTAAATTTCTTTACTACTTGCATATATGAAAATGGGCCTTGCAAACATAGCAAAAAGAACAAGGTATCTCTTATTTTTTGAGCACATTTTGTGAAACAAAGTGGTACTCTATTGCTAAAGTCTGTTTGGGTATGTCAATTTTTGAAAGAGGCTTTTAACACTGTCTCAGTTTGAGCGAAGCTAATAAAATTAATTATCCAGAAATCAAAGAAAATATAAAATCTATTATCAATGACAGATATCACTTTGCCAGTAATAATGCATTGATAAAAGTGATTAAGCCTGTAGTTAATGTGATTAGAAAGCTTGAATCAAGAGATGCTACTCTAGCCAATATTTTTAAGAAACTCATATATCTTCATCTTAAAATATCTAAGCTTAACATTCCTATTTTTGGTTTAAAGGTTCATGCACTAGCTGTTATTAGTTAAAGAGCCAAAGAGTTCTCTGAAGATATTTATTTTATTGCTTTATTTCTCTTTCTACCTTCAAGAATGTAGCCATATCAAATTACATGAATATTAAATGTCTTTTGCGTAAATGCTTAAAATTGGCCAAAATCTAGAATTTTGATAAAAGAGAAACTGGTCTACTTTATAAAGAGTTGATGAGTTATAAAAATAATAATCATCTTTTTGCTATATTTAACTTAGCTTCTAAAAATCGTCTAGAAACTTTTGAACAGAATTTACAGATAATTTTTCTTTGCTTTGCTGATTTGCTCTAAAAGTCCTCTTTATTATACCTCATGATGCTGCTTGTAAACGATTATTTTCTTCTTTGAGTCTTGCTAAAACTAAATTGAGAAACTGTCTTTTTCTTGATATTTTTTCTAAACTTAGTAAAAAATAAAATAAAATTAGTTTTAATATTTTAAAATTTAAAAAAAATCAAATAATTAAAGATATAACTTCTTTTATTATTTAAAGATCAACTTAAAAATGAACTTAAACAATTCTTAACAAAAAAACAAAAAAATAAACAGAATCTCATTTCAATACCTGAGGTTTCTGAAAAAAATATTGATATATTTTTTGAAGATGTGGATGAGAACAATACTAATAATGATGAGGTATATGAACAAATTGAAGCAGTTAGTATCGAAGAAGAAAAATTCTCTATTATAGAGAAATTTTCAACTTTGAGGCATTTATAAAAGAACAAGAAAATTTTCTAGTTATCGAAGAGATTCATAATCATTCTATAGTACAACAAAGTAATATTAAAATTGAGAAATAATCTATTGATAATATAATTCAAAATTTATAATTTATTTTTTAATAAAATATATAATATATTGTAAATTATATAAGTAGCTTGAAATTGTATAGGCTAGAAGTTTGAATTTGTAGAAATTAATAAACATAAAATAATGTAAAAAAAAAAAGCTCTATATATTTGTATAGATCTTTAGTATCTTATACAGAATATTATACTTTTATATAGAATTAATGCCATAGTTACCAAAAATATTTCTAATTTTATGTATTAATAAGTTTTTTGTTTTATGTAGCTGGTTCTAAAAATTTAAAAAAAAGCTTTAACTTACTTCTGTATTTTATATAGATTTTATAGGTATATAGTAAAGTAGTATAGTATAGAAATGCAAACTAGGGAGGGTGTGGCGAATTAGTGAAGTTGATAAGTTGTCACATCTCCAAGCGGCAGAACAAGAGTTCGAATCCTACTAGTGACAAAATTTGAATTTAAGGAATATATTATGGCAGACTGTATGTAATCTAATAGATCATTAGATCTGTAGTTTTAGTTGTACTAGCTTGTATTGAAAGAATGTGGAACTATAGTGTAATGCAAAAGTTACACAAAACCTGAGTAAAACATTTGTGTAAATTCAAGGGCTGGAGTACACAGAATCTTGCTTGGCAAGTCTTGAGTAGAGAGATAGCACAAATCTTTGACGGTACTATGTAAAAGATGATCATTGGTAATCAGACACTAGCAGTATACTGGACGAAGACCGGGTGTTTGGCAAGACACTAATACCAACCAGGCTGTGTATATATGGGGTAGCTCTGTATAAACGAGAAAAAGGATTCAATTAGAATACCAATAGGACGCTCACTAATCCTTCTCCAGGTTATCTGAATTGGGAGTTTGGGATGCTGTTAGTGAAGGAAAGTCGGTGCTAATCTATAAAGTGTATACTAGGATTTGGGTGAACTTTACAAGGGCAGAAGTAGGTAATGGTAGTGGCTTCAGCTTGCAAGTATTTGTCTTCAGACTTAGCATAAGTTACTGAAGTTTAGGTTGGCTGGATTGTGAGTACAGAAAACTCTAGCAGGTTTACTTCGAGGACAAAGGACCCCTATAGGTGGGTCTGTCTTAAAGTCCTAAGTTAGGGATCCGAAAATAAGTGGTACTAATGTACCTTTGCTCAGTTAGAGGATTAATGTATATAGACACAGAGGGTTTAAATGAGTAACTCAGTAGGATTATAGGTACGGCAGCTAGTATAGAACTTAGTAATAAGTAATTATTTAAATAGACAACCAAAAGTTGCATATGTAGCTAGTTGCATTCTCTAAATATATGTATAGTATGGTGTATACCATACTGTAAAAGTTACCAATAATCGAATAAAAGGACAGCGACCAAGAAGTTATCTTAAAACCAAAAAAAAAAAGAAATACAAACTAGGATAGATGTATAGAAACAAACAGTTTGTAAAAGAAAAACTTTATTAAGCCTATATTACTTTTATTATAAAAAAAGAACAATACTAGCATTTATTTTAACACTAACCATTAAAAGTAGTTATATAATTAAATTTTACAAATCTGTATTAGCCGTAAGACCTATGATTTGCAAGATATGATTGTTAATTTATATATGATTGTCATGTGATTGAGGAAAGATATGCTTATAGGCATAAGAGGCATGCCTCGACACAAAGCATGCTCTTATAAGCATGTTTAATTTTTTATTTATGTCCTAAATCCTATTAAAAATACAAAAAATGTCTATCTAAACCTATTCTGGTGTACCAATTAAAAATGTCAGGAAGACAATTTTACATATAAAACTTGTCTTTGCTCTAATCTTGTATAATTCTAACTTTAGTTAAAATTATATATTCAAATGTAGTTTTATACTGAAGATGTATAAGCTAAATATCTTTGGCTAGAAATGCCTAGAAGTTTTTATATTGTTAATTATACGATTATTTTTTTTTATAAATAAGTAGTTTAGAATTTTTTTTTTATATAAATAAGTAGGTTGAAATTTTTTTTTACTGTTTTTTTTTCTTTTTTCTTGAATTTTAATTGATCAAAGTATCTAAGAATGCATAAATTATATCTCTAATTGAGTCTGTATATTTATGATAATATGATGTTATAAAAAGGTGTGGCGACTTAGTGTAGTTAGTAAATTGTCACACCCCAAGTGGCAGAACAAGAGTTTGAATCTCACCGGCAACGAAATTCGAATTTGCGGAAATGCGTTATAATAAAACTGTATAGCATGTCAATCGGATCAGCACCTGTAATCTTGGTCTCACCAACTCATATTGGGAGGTTGTGGAATGTAGTATAATATATAAGTTACACAAAACCCAAGTGAAGCAGCCAAATAAATTCAAGAGATCAGGGGATATGAAAGCCCGCTTGGAAAGTCCTGAGTAGAGAGGTAGTACAGATCTTTAACAGCATTACATAAAGGATTATCATCTGGGGAACCAGACACTGAAGGCAAACTGAACGAAGACTGAGTGTTTGGCAAGCATTACACCAACCAGGCTACCGAATTAACTTAAATAAAAAGGATTCATTCGGAATACTAGGGGACACCTACTGGTCCCTTCCAGGCCATCTGGATTGGAAGTTTAGGGAGCCAATAGTTGGCATTGAAGTACTGTTGATAGACCGTAAAGTGGGTGCTAGGGTTTGGATGAACTTTGCAAGGGCACAGAGTAGGTAATGGTAGCAGAGGTAAAAAAGCTGCAAGTATTTGGCCGTGGTCAAGCTGTAAGTTATCGAAAATCTAGTTGATACATGTGTAGGACATGGACTGCTCTGGTAGGTTTATCACAAGGATAAAGGATCCTCTATATGGTAGTATGTATCTGCTTTAAAGTCCTAAGGGGCTTACACAGCAGTTCCTCTTTGAGGAGAATATTCTGATAGTGCTAAGTTGATCAGAGGGTTTAATTGAGTAACTTAAGTAATAATGGGTTACAGGTATGGTATCTAGTATAGTTCATATGGGTTACATATACAAGACTGCTTAAATAGACAACCAAAAGTTGTACATATGGCTAGAATGTATCCTTGTTAATATAACAAAATTAGGGGTAGCCCATGTAGTTACCCTGGCATTCAATTCAAAGTTCAATAAAACATGCCAGACCCCAAAGTGGTCACCTTAACATTAAAAAAAAAAAGATAATATGACGTTATTTTGTTGGTTAGCTGTATAAATCGTGTTCACTAAGTTTTTTTTTGGTTAAGTATCTAGGGTCAAATCTGCTAAGATGATTTAAAATTTTGAGTTATACAGAATAATTCATAGTTTCAGCATAGCATATTTTGTATAATTTAAATTTGTATATTTTTGTTTAGAATAAAAAAGACATACATTATATCTGACCATATAATATCCATTTGGCCCAAACTCTTGGAAGATCATTTAGCTTATTTAGATAAAGATTTTTATAAAAAAAATTTTTTTATATTTATTTTTTTTTAACCAATTTTTTAGCAAGCAAATTTGCCTGCTAAAATAGACAGTTTAAGAAATATAGTTGATAAAACATTTTTAAAGATTTCTTAAAAACTACCAAGCTAATTTTAATGTTCTTACTATAATTAGATGTGTCTTAATGAGCTTTACAACTTTTGTTAAAAGCCCAAAGGTGATTTACTTAGTAAGAAAAAAGTTTTCCTTGAATGAATGCTACATTTCTATCTTAAGATATTTATATATAAAACTGAGTTGTATTTTACTATGATAATTCTTTTTTTTTTTTTTTTAATGTCAAGGTGACTACTTTGGGGTCTAGCACATTTTATTGAACTTTGGATCGAATACCAGGGTAACCACATAAGCTACCCTAACTTTGTTACATTAACGAGGTTATATTCTAGCCATATGTACAACTTTTAGTTGTCTATTTAAGCAGTCTTGCATATGTAATCCATATAAACTACACTAGATGCCATACCTGTAACCCACTATTACTTGAGTTACCCAATTAAACCCTCTGATCAACTTAGCGCTGTCAGGATATTCTCTTCAAAGAGGAACTGCCGTGTAAGCCTCTTAGGACTTTAAGCAGACACATACTACCATATAGGGGGTCTTTTATCCTTATAGTAAACCTACCAGAGCGGTTCATGTTATATACATGTATCACCTAGATTTTTGGTAACTTATGCTTAGACTGCGGCCAAGTACTTGCAGCTTTTTACTTCCGCTACTATTACCTACTCTGTGCTCTTGCAAAGTTCACCCAAACCCCAGCACCCACTTTACGGACTATCAACAGTACTTCGATACCAACTGTCAGCTCCCTAAACTTCCAATCCAGATGGCTCAGAAGGAACCAATAGGCGTTTTCTGGTATTCCGAATAAATTCTTTTTCTTCCAGTTAGTCTGGCAGCCTGGTTAGTATAGTGCTTGCCAAACACTCGGTCCTCGTTCAGTTTGCCTTCAGTATTCGGTTTCCCAGATGATAATCCTTTACGTAGCGCCATCGAAGATCTGTGCTACCTCTCTACTCAGGACTTCCTAAGTAGGCTTTTATATCACCTGATCCCTTAGATTTATTTGGCTGCTTCACTCAGGTTTCATATAACTCATATGTTACATTACATTCTACAACCTCTCAATACGAGTTGGTGAGACCAAGGTTACAGGTGCTGACCCGATCGATATATCATACAGTTTTACTATAACGCATTTTTGCAAATTTGAATTTCGTTGCCAGTATGATTTGAACTCTTGTTTTGCTACTTGGAGATATGACAACTTACCAACTACACTAAGTTGCCACACCCTTACTATGATAATTCTTTAGTTCACTAGAGAATTATTAATTAATACAATCAAGATTTAAATTTTTTTTCATATAATTTATATAATATAACCTAAACTAATAATTTAAATTTAACCTTTTATTGTCAGAGTTTTAAATT